AGGGGGTCTTTAACGGGGGCCTTGGGATCACAGGCCTGACTGTTAACAGCTCCAAGGTGAAAGGCCTCGGACGATGCCCTAAGCCCTCCATGTTGATACTCCCTTGGCTAAAAGAGTTCCTGGGAGAATTCTGCCTGTTCCGTGACATTCTCTTTTTTTTTTCACATGCAATCTCAACTTTGTGCCAAGTGTTGTCAGAGTAGTTTTTTTTTTTTTTTTTTTTGCGAAAAATTAACCTTAAAACTCGGAAACGTTGACTTTTTTTTTTTTAAAAATAGTCGAGTAGTGACCCACGGACACTGTTTTCCTCCTCTGAAATGATGGATTACAGAAGGGAAAGTGAACTTTATTTGTATGCTTGTCATCTAAATATTCAGCATTTGTTCTTGCCCCCTGACTGACCCCACAATTTATCTTTTTGACAGTGTGTCGCAGCTCAGCACAGAGAAATGTCCATTATCTCTGAAACTATTATCTGCTTATGTACCGCGTTTTAACCTGTCCAAACCCATCAGACAGCGGTAATTGAAGTGCGCTCCGTTCGCAGGCCAGAAAAACCCAGCGCTCTTTTTGTCAAAATTACACTTGTCATTTTCTATCCGGGGACATGTCTCTCACATAAGAGTCCTTCCTTCCCCCCCATTGGGTGTCACTTGTCTTCCGTGTCATGTTATCTGCCTCCGTAAAGGTGCAGTTTGTAAGGTTTAGAAGGTTTTGCCCTTCTGAATTTTATTTCTAAGTGCAGAAATGAAGGATAATTGATTGATGAATTTGCTGATACTTGAAGCTCTAATTTATTGATGAGTGTTTTCTTTTTAAATTTTTACACATGGGGCCTGTCCCCACCAGAAAGGCTGCCATGTTTAATCACTATTTCCGTTTCACATAAAGTGTAAGTCAGAGAGTCGAGGGACAGATGATTCCATTTCCAAATGACAATAGCATAGCATTAGCATAAGGCTACCATTTATCCTCCTTCGTATAGATGCTGCTAAAACATATATGGATACAAAATATATTCAGAAAAAAAGTGTGTTTTGCTGAAGGTTTGATTGACAGAAATCAAAGCTGACTAAGTATCCTGATGAATAATTAGCTGGGTGTTCCCTCCACTGGAACTATTTTGCCACTCTTTTGTTGTGCAGTACTTTTCTCACAGTCGTCATAAATGCCAGGAATGGCAGCCTGATTTTTTTTTTTTTTTAAAGAGTAAAACTCCAGTCTGACTCAGCATGTGCACAACAGCAACTGGCAGATGGTGCGCGGTGATAATATGTATATTGTTGTGTCTGCCCGGGGCTGAGGATTTCCTATAGGAAGTGTCTGGCTGTTGTTGAAATGATGCGCCATTGAAAATGGGTGGAGGTGCAAAACTTCTCCGGACTGCGAGATGAAAAGCAGAATGACCCTCTTCACCCAGACACACGCACAGTGGTGTGTGTCATGCCTTGTGTGTGCGTAAGCTAAGTTTGACCTCAGGAGAATCACTCCTCTTTGCCTCGGTCATAATCTTGGTCTTTGTTTTGCGAACGCTGACTCGTGTGTCCCCCGTGAACTTTTGATGTTCTACTATCGCCATCGCACAGATGCATCACACCTAGACTCATCAGCCCGTGGCCTTGCTCCCCTATTGTCTCCCAATCCTCCATCTCTGACCTCGCCCCCCCCTCCCAACCTCCCCCCACTGCAGGGGTCTGTTCCTATTTATAAAATAGGAGGTGGTTTCCTCCTCTTGTTGCTGTTTGCCAGCGCTTCCTTCTTTCATTCACTGACCTCTTCTCTACTTCCTGTTTGTGAAGTGAATCAGTGGTCAACCCGTTGGGGATTTCTGTTTTGTTTTTTTGTTTTTTTTGTAAATTGTTTTAATTGCTTTTGGTAACAAAGGGTGTGACCGTAGTAGTGGAACAGACATGAGTCATGTCCGACACCGTGTCCTTATATGGTCACATCCTCCGGTCATAACAAAGGACTAAAGACAAAGGAGCATCCTTCATGTGGATGATGTTTACAGGTGTTCTTCTGTGACAACACTCCTGTCACCTTTGTATCCAAATTGACCAATAATGCAGAAAGTTCTAAAGTGATGCTGTTCAAACTTTTTCCTCCTAGAATTCAAGCCACATGTAAAGTTTTTTTTCCAAAGATGGCCTATTTATCACTTAATGCAAATCCAGGTTGGTGGTATGATTGCAGCACAATAAGAGATTTCCACTTCAGATCCCGTGTCCCAGGAGAGACCTTTTTATAGTTTAACAGGAACCAACCCCCCCCCGGGGCTTTTGTGCAGATGACGCTGTTTTCTTCATTTTTTTTTTTCATTTTTTTATCCCAGTTTGTTTTTTCTGCTCCTGTTGTGTGTCCTTAACATAACATTTTTTCTTATTTTCTGTGGTGGAGGAGAAATGAAGGATTTGAAGTAGAAACATTACTGTTATTTGTGATTTCAAACTTTAAATTCAGCTTTATGAAAGTGGATACCAAGTTCATTTAGAGACAAATAAATTGTTTCACACCTATTTTTTTTTTATATCACAGTAGTGAGGTGAAGTGAGTCCAAGTGAGTGACTACCAATGATGCAAACCTCACTTTGTTGCTAGGTTGATGTCAAAACAAGGCAGGAAATGATGTAAATGCTGACCTGTGGTGACAAAAACATTGTTTGAAAAGGAGTCTCAGGAGAGTCTGCTAGACAATGGATCAAAATGAGAGCAGGGACAATAGAGCACAAGTTACTCACAACATTCACAGCCTTGACCAGATGCTGGTGTGAAAAAAAAAAGTCCAGCAGTTTGATTATTTGGACCTTTAGGCTGCCGGAGCCAAGGCTGCAGCCCACCTGGATGTTACAAAGCTTCAGAGATGGGAGGCTGAACTCTAACTCACGACTCTTATCTCATTCCGACATCTGTTTGCACTGGGTCTTCCAGATGTTTCCTGCTTGGCTTCTGCTGATTCTTAGCCGGGCCAAAGGCCTGTGCACTTGCTTTTTCTCCCAACCCCAGTATTGGTGCTAGACCTTTGGGTCCCATTAAATGTGTTTACACAAGACCCTCGGCTGATGGTAACTTGGCGACAAAGTTAAGTCGTATTCCAAATGTCATCGTGTTAGCATTAGAGGCAAGTTATTTTTGATGTCTCCTAGAGGTGAGGCTTTTGTGTTGTGTGTGTGCTCGAATCAAAAATGCGTTACACAACTACGGTTTCCCCGTCTGCAGTATTTATAAACAGTTAGCGCAGTCAATAACCTGAGGCAGAATCGGCCAATTGTCTCCAGGCCTACGTGACTCCTTTCAGCTCTGATTTCAGTCACTAATAATGCCCTTTGTTGTGGATGACCTACCGTTAGGAGGGACCGCTCCACCAGGACTGAAATATCTTAACATCTGAGGATAAACGTTGGGAGTTCAGACACGTACACTTGCTGCTTCTGAGGACAGTGTGAAAAACAATATGTCATGTAGTTTGTTTGTTGGAATATGGCAAAATACAGAAGGTGATTTTTTTTTTAAGCACCTTGCTGAGATGTACGTCAGATAAGCATTTCACCTACGGGTCTTGTCTAAATAATAAAGGTGCTTTTTTTATTACTTGGTGCCATAGTGTAGTGGTTATCACGGCTGCCTTACACGTCTGTCTTACCTGCAGTATGGCCGATTGTAAGATGTTGCCATTTGTGTAGTACTTTGTTCAGGGATTGTACTTGTACTTGTGATCCAGGGGAGAGAGACTTTAACAACAGGTTTTATTCTTTCAAATGGAATATTTTTATGCCTTACAAAATAAAAGACCGTCTCCTGTGTTGGTTTGACAGAGACGTTAGTTACAGTCTGATGACAGTCAGAGTTACAGTGCTCTTTCTGTAACTCACTGTGTATATGTTTTCAATTTTGAGTTATTTCTAGTGAGCATCTATTCCTGGTGAGTTACAGTATTCACTTTACTGGCACTGATATACTGTACACTTTGGCTTTGAGGCAACGGGATCTATTTAATATCCCCCTACGTTTCATTTGAATTGTAAGGATCAGAGAATATTTATAGGCTGCACTGCCAAGACCCCTGATTCTTTCCAGACCATTTGGCACATGGCTTTGTAGAATACCCTGCAGATGGTTCTTTTATTCACCTTATCTGTCTTTTTTTTCTTCTCTCTCTCGCTCTTTCTTTTCTTTAATAAAATGCTCGAGCTGAGTCTTTTTGTGAAAAGAAAAAAAAGAAGAGAGAGGAAATCCATCAGATCTGCTGCGATGCACCCTACCTTTGGGCTCATAAATTGTACTTGCCTCAAAGTAGCAGGAAGTACAGGCCTAATAGGGTGTATCCTGCAGGTTTCCTGTTAGGTTAACCCACAAAGAGTGGGGTTTTCTCCCTCGCTATAGGATCACGACATCAACAACCACACTTATAGGGAATAGACCCACGAGTCTGACGGCCTGCGAGGGCCGCAGAAAACATTTTGCACACGGCCTTTAACGGTAAACATCTACCAACAAGACCTCAGACATTTTCCTGCAGCAGTCGGTTGGGTTGGGTTGCCAGATTTGTGATATTATTCAGTATTGCCCAACACTACTGCAGAGCCACGACGTAGATAGTATAGTAATCAAAGTGTGAAAATGAAATTTTTCTCCTCATCGGTTTTGTCATAAAAATAGTTTTGGGATGACTTTGGTATTTTGTAGTTATTGAAGAAATTGATCTTCTTCCCATGTGCACATGGGAACTCTTGCCTGCGTTTGATTCAATTCCCAGACTTTTACTTAGTCTCTAGAGGATGATGTGTGAGTGATAGTGAAAGCTTTAGCACGTAGAAAAACTCCAGCTGAGAGGTGATCAACTGCCCCATCTGGAGTTAGTTCTACCTGGGGAGAAAAAAAGGGGGTTTGAATGTGATGCTATGTAGACACACCCCTTTTATAAAGAGCACTGATACGGCCTTACAGCCGTCCCGAATTTTCACAATAATCCATTTTAATGTTGCATTTATTTTACATGACAGGTCGAATAAAACCAGCAGCACAGCAGAGCGGGGTTCTCCGTCTCTCCCTCTCCATTTCCTCGTGGCTGTGAATGAGTTGCAGGTGTTGCCTGAGTGTAAATGCATCACTCTACAGCTGCTGCAGAGTTCTCTGGGTGAGTAGATGGCCACAGATTCAACACTGAATTGAGTTAAGCCCCTGAACTGTGGAAGTCTTCCCCCTTGTGCCTCTTTTCATGGATAAAATGCTGCAGTGGAACATGTTTAAAAGGATATGTTTCTAATTTGACTCCTGCCACCCTTATCCTCTCTTAGCTCTCCTCGGCCCCATCATCCCTCTCCATATCTCCCTCTCCGTCTCCGTCACTGTCTGCCTGGATGCATGTGTCAGACAACCGATTAATTCTCCGGAGGTGGAAAGGTGGAGTGACGGGGGATCACAAGAGGCAAATCATCCCTATATTCATCCACAGGTAAATAAAAAAAACATGTCAGAGCTCAGAAGTACATCGATCTCACGCTGACAGCCACAGATGCTCCTCATTATTGTCCCCTGGCTTCAGTGAAACACAATAATTTATAAACGGCTCTAACATGCAGACCCCGGGGATGGATCTTATCTCAGACGGTCCTGCATGTGCGCTGTTATCTGTTGACATATATTTTATTTGGCCATATACTTTACACATGGAGATATTGTGAAGCAATACCGGCAATGGTGTTTGCTACCAAAACATCATGTTTTTTTAAACCTATGACCAAACAGAAACTGCTTAGCTTTTTGCGGGTGGCAGTGTGAGTCAACTGACGGCCAATCCCATCAGTCTTATCTACAAATTATCTGAGCTCAACCCTGTGACTCATTTCTCTTTGAACTATATTTGCTTAAGAATTTATACAAATCTAAGCATTTTTTAATTTTTTTAATCCTGTCTGTCTTAATTAACTTTAAAAACTTCCTGCAACATCAGAAAAAAATGATCAGGTAAATCATCATGTTAAAATGTGTACCTTAAATGTGATTGCGGGGAAAATCTGGCACAGACTGGCATCCTGTTTTGAGTGTGTTTGCTCCTCCATCTACAAATTATCTACATACGTTAAAAATCCTCATACAATAGAACCTTGTCTTCGTACAGAGATGACTTTATCTCTGTTTGTACTTTTTTTAAGAAGTGTTTTTAGGAGAAGTGCACCGTCTCTTTCGGGTACTGTTCTGTTAAAACCGCTAATAAAGTGGGCCAACATGTTTTTGATAGCCATTCTTATCAGGTGACAGTCGCGTGATTGATTTGACTAAAAATTTTCACTATAAACAAAAGTTATCTCGGTTTGGGGTTTTTTGTTTTCTCAATGTTGGAGGAGAAATGTGGTGCAGGTCTCGTCACATACCTGGTATCTGACAAACACTCGGTTCGGTGCACAGCTTTGTGGGTAATGAGAAAAAAAAAGATGTCTGGGTGGAGTTTTTGATAAAGATGGTTTCCTGTATTTGCTTCTTTTAGCGAAAGTGGTTAAGGTGCTGTGTGTGTGTGTGTGTGTG